CCGACTTAAGTACACACAAAAAGATATATTTGTTCTTCCCCCCTCCCCAAAAAAAAAAAAAAAAAAAAAACAAAATACAAAGCAAAAAAAAATAATAATAAAGAAAAGACGAAAAAGATATACGGTCTTGTGCCAGCTGCCTATATATATATATATATATATGCATATATACAGTTATAGCTCTTCACGCAACACCAACAAGATAAACGATCTTTAGGGAAGAAATAATCAACGGAAAACTGAATTGTGAATTGACGACGCCACCAATGAAAGTAAAAAAATAAAAGAGTGCCAGGTAAAAGGCAAAGCAACAGGACACGATTATCTTATTATACTATACTACATGCAATACTACTATAGGGGTTGATTTTTGTAAAGAATACAAGTCCAAAAAAGTAACTGAAATAAAATAAAAAGAGAGATAACATATACATACATACATAGCTCTATATATAGATATAATTATAAAAGTATAAATAAAGCGTTAAGCAAATTTCAATACAAGCTTTAGTTGAGTGATTAAGGGTTGATTTCTTTATATATATATATATATATATATATATATATATATATGTATATATATATTTTTTTTTAAGTTGCATTCAATAAAGAAAAATTGACAGATGTTCCTTTTAAATATATATCCACATACGCATATATATACAGAGAAATATATAGAAGAAAGCCTGCTTAATCATATATATATCTCCCCTTCCACCGACTTTCCAGACAAGATGCAGAAATCTTATACTTTTTACAATTATTCGGTTTTAAATGCTTTACTGCACTTGAGATAGCTATTCTTTATAAATCCCAGTCAGATAGATATATGAACAACAGGATATTATATTACACGCATATATGTATATACATGTTTTATAGGCATGTATGGATTTATATACATGTATATATATATATGTATATACATATATATAATGTATTTAAAATGTTTATAAAAATTAGTAACACTTCCGTTGCATAGAATAAATTCACATCGTTTTTCTTTTTTTCCTCCACAAGCAACAACTACAACTACTATTAGAGGAAGTAAAACCGGGTTTGACGATTAATTTAAATGCAGTAAAAACGAAGAAAAAGTAGAAAAAAAACCCACGAAAAACCATTGATTATACTTCCGCTTATCGTCAAGCGTAAGCAGAATGAGTTCAAAAAAAAAAAATAAATAAAAAAGTTGTTCTTTGCTTTGATATCTTTCAGACTTTGTAACCATTATAGCAACGTTAGTCCATGGTACTCTAATTTTATTATTTCGTTTGTAACACACGTAGAACTAAATGGGTAAATACATTATAGTAGATCACGGCCCACCTTTAAAGCACCCTTCATTAGCTCACAAATTTACTGATACGTGCGTTCAAATTAATGCCTTATATGGCATGGAAGAAGTCAACCGACCTAAATTGTTTTCAGAAATTCTCGTTCGTGGCTGAAAACTCATAAGTGTTACTAAATTTCATCAAAATATCGCAAAAATTGCGCCCTATAGGTTAAAGCCAAGACGGACAGATGGAGCGAAAAGCATAAATCGATGCAGAAAATTATTTTTAAATTGATTGATACGGTACCCATTATAGTGGGTCACGGCCCATCAGCTTTCAATTACTGCTACGACTTTTCAAAAGAAAGCATCTTTTGTGGCAAGTGATCGAAAAAGTGTTCCAATCCAAATCGTTTTCAGCAATGCTTGTTCGTGGCCCATTCGCGACATTAGTGTTAGCAAATTTCATCAAAATATTTCGAAAATTTTTACCTGCACAGTCCAATCTGATTTTTCTTATTTTTTAAATGATCAATCACTCAAGGGATGCTGGTATGATGGTCAGAAAGAAGGGAGGACAGAGAGACAAGAAGAGGCCGCAGCCTATGTGGAGGAATGTGCCGAATCGTTAATTGTTATGCTTTCACCGATCGAGGCTATACCTAGCTACAGGCATATACCAATCTTTGTTAACACTTTGCACTCCTAACCTTTTTTTGTTTTTTACCTACCATCAACTCCTTTATTAAGGAAGTTTAAAGAAGATATAAGAAGTGATTTCAATGGAAAAAGAAAATGCAAGTCTTCAGACTATAGAAAGAAAACACAAGCATTTAATAATATTGAATAATACAATGTCGAATCTATTTCGACATAAGAGTTTGTCAATATCGATCCATAGTTGACAGAGGCAGTGGAAGAGATTAAGACATGATCTATGCACCGAGAATTGGATATATCGACTTAATAGTCGCACCTCTTAACTACTTGGCTATGCTTGGCAAGCTTAAGAATATTTGTCGTCTATCGATCCGAGGAAGGTATTTGAGTGATCCGACTCTTAATAGTTTATGGAAATTCGAAAATAAATCTCCAATTTTCTCATGCTTCGGCCGTAAAAGCGGATTTGTCTGACTGATGGTAGTTGATAGTCTCTGCTGGCAGGCTTAGTCAATCTCTTGCCATGAAGGACGAAGTTACCACGCTCCATTATATCCATTGCTATTATTTTGAGAATTGCCTTGAGGGTAAATACTAACCTTTTCCTATCCGAACTGAGGACACCGCGTCACATTGTTCCTGTTGTTGCTCGTGCTTTAACGCGTATGCGTATGAGGCATTAGCTCATTCGCTTATCCCTATCGATAGCAAACCGCGACCCACGATGATCGATGTTGATGCGTTCCATTCTGGACTCTTTATGAGAAATATCAAAGAGAGAGAGAGACTTGTCTGTCCTTCCGTCCTCTTTTTCTTAGTATATTATCATGTAGCTTCCCATGAGCACTTTTTGTATACACATGACGCTAGCTTTCTACGTGAACATTACGATGCAGTGGCATGACTCCACAATGGATAGAGAAAGGATAGTCACGTCATTATTCTATCTCTTTGGGTATAAACATATCAAACAAAATGTACTTTTCTTTAGTGATCTAAAAGTCGCCTTAAGGCTATTTTTTGGTCATTTTTTCTTTCTTTTTGTCTAAACCGCAATCCCAACTACTGTAATGCATGCATAATTTATCTGTCAATTAAATGAAACGATAAGTACAGTAAAGAGTTATTTAACGGAAAAACATTTTTCATGCCATGGCAGGCATGAGCAAAGGCCTTCTAGCTCAATGACAAAGCTAATAAAAATTTGTATAATTTAGTTATTAATTTATTTCAATTAAAAGCACGATTTATGTAAGCAATGAAAACAAAAATATTCAAAGGGTCCCACTAGAAGCTGCTGATGCCAGATCGTATCGATCGCAATTTGTAACACTCAGAAGTAAGTTCAAAATACTCCGCAAAATGTCCGCATATTCGTGCTTTCGGTCCTGTCGGTCCTTACGTCTTGTAGCTAAAAAAAATGTCCAATGGATTCGCATGGCTATCAAGGAATAGATATTTGAGCGGATGAATTCACTGGGGTGTACTGCCGTGAAGGCTGAACCTCATGAATGGTGAAGAGAGGAAACGCCCACGTCAACATAGGAAGGATGCTTACTTCCTAAGTGCCAGATTGTGAACTTATCACTCACTCTGCTGATAGACTGGTCCATACGAAACCTATGCCTTTTTAAGGATCAAGCAATGCAATGTACAATGAGGAAGCACGCAAGCTAGCTAGCTAGCACTGCTAGGATGAAACTCCCGCAAAGAGCAGATGAAAGCAGAAAGTAATCAAAAGCGTGTAACGAAAATTCTCGATCAGGCAGGCTTTTTATAGGTTAAGTTGAAAGCTCGATATGGAGTAGAAAATCTGCAGAAAGTCGAATCAGTCTATGCTCGATGCAAGTGCAGAATATTCTCACCGGGTTTCAGCGGATCAACAGGCAAACATGTAGACCTACCGGCAAAAAGGCGAGTCTCATGCAGTACATGTACACTAATGAATGCGCATGTAGCTTAGAGGATTGTATCCTTGAATTTGAACTATTTTCGCATAACTTTAGGATTTACTGTAAATATATTATCTTCGCTTGCATTGATCTCGCCTGGCTTTCTTCGTTCGATTTAGGATAAACGCCAAGTTTTGTTTTGTGTGTAAACACCTTTTTTCTGTTGTTGTTGTTGTTTTTTTTTGTTTATATTAAAATTCTGGCAGCATTTTTAGTACAGAACAGTACATAACAATAACAAAAACCGAACAACGTAACTTGAAGACAATTTTTACTATACGAGAATAGGCAGAATTCAAGCCAAAAGGAAATCACGTTTAATATTATAACACAACAATTTGTACTTGTATTGTTGCATTACGTTGTACATACTTAACCCATTAATAAAATTACTTCCACTACGCGCCTATGTGTTGCCTTTAATAATATTCATTCACATTGTTCGAGTGGTCTCTTTCTATTTATGTGAGAGCAAAGAGCTTATCTGGACTACACTACATTATATAAAGGAAATCAATTATAAAGTCATCACGTATTACATGAAATGAAGAAATGTTTTGCTTTGATTACGGCAAAATTATTTTATAGGCAGTTGGTCTCTGGAACGGGAGAGGTTACTAACTTCTCTAACCTTTATTGTGGTTGCGCGAATTCAATTATCGCTTTGGTTGCCCATTTTGGGTCGCCAAGATCATATCGGTTGGGCATTAGCAACCTACCACGCTATGAGGTTATGTTGTCAATTCAGCCAAAGTTCAGTGAATTCTTTATATGCCCTCTTTTTTCTTGTGCTTCTTCTTTTGTGTTTTCTTTCTGTTCTGCGTTTCATTTCACTTTAATCTCTCCAGACAGACAGATATGTTCGCCCTTTTAAATCTTTTAAGCGCCTTTTTCAGTGTTAGTATCAAATTACTATTGTCACGCTTAAGTGTTAAAGAATTTAAAAAAAAAAAAAAATCTTATCAGACTTCCTTCTCCACAACAACAAACAAAAGATTAGTTGACCCCTAATTACGTAAACTATTTTTATTTTTTTTTTCGTTTCCTTATTTTGTAATCTTGTCTCTAATTTTATCTTTTTCTTCTTTTTGATTTCGTTTCATTTTCAGTCCGCCGTTCTCCATCCGCCTGTCCTGGTCCTAATAATTTGCCACCTCTACAATTTCATAGTGTTCACGGCGATAATATACGCATTTCCCGTGACGGTACACTCGCTCGACGTTTTGAAAGCTTTTGCCGCGCAATAACGTTCTCCTCGCGTCCGGTGCGAATCAATGAACGCGTTTGCGTACGTTTCACCGAGATTTCGAATAATTGGAAAGGCGGTATACGTTTCGGTTTCACCACCAATGATCCGGCCACCTTAGATGGAAATTTACCTAAATTCGCTTGTCCCGATCTAACAAATCGACCCGGTTTTTGGGCTAAAGCTTTACATGAACAATACTGCGAGAAGGATAACGTATTGTATTATTATGTAAATTCGGCCGGTGAAGTAATTTACGGCATTAACAATGAGGAGAAGGGTGTGATATTATCGGGCATTGATACGAGAGGCTTATTGTGGACTATCATTGATATTTATGGTAATTGCACGGCTATAGAATTTTTGGATGCTCGTATTTATATGTATCAACAGAGCGGCGGCATCGGTTTACCACCGACCTTAATGGGCGGTACTTTACCGGCACCACAAATGGCCACAAGTACATTGCATGCCCATCAGCAGTCTAGACGTTCCTTGCCCACAACAAGCGGTTTAGATCACGAGCTTGAACGTCATGTGATGCCTTCGTTGCAATCGTTAAATCTGTCCGGCCAAGATCAAGTTGATATGGCGAATGGTGTGCCACCGTTGCGTTATAATGTTAATGGTCGTTTAATACCGGTACCCTTTCATATTACCAAAGGTCGTAATGTTCGCTTATCTCACGATCGATTTATAGCCTCGCGTACTGAAAATGATTTCTGTCAAGGTTATGTGTTTACCGCACGACCGATTCGCATCGGTGAGAAGCTCATTGTCCAGATACTCAAGACTGAACAGATGTATGTCGGCGCTTTGGCTTTAGGTTTAACATCCTGTAATCCAGCCGCTCTGCAACCGGGCGATTTGCCCAATGACTCGGACTTTTTACTCGATCGTCCCGAATATTGGGTAGTTAGTAAGGATATAGCGACCGCTCCTCAGCGTGCCGATGAAATTGCGTTTTTTGTCGCACCTAACGGTGAAGTAACGATCAGTAAGAATAATGGCCCAGCGGTTGTAGTAATGCATGTCGATCAATCTTTGCAATTATGGGCATTTTTGGATGTCTACGGGTCAACCCAATCAGTAAGAATGTTCCGTCAACAATTACCAAATATGGTGGCTTATTCAACGGCATCCGTAGCCGGATCCCAACAACGCATAGTTAACATACCCGTCTCTGAATCCATTAACAGTCTGAATAGTCAAATGTCTGAATCACGTAAAATCCTGCACCCCAGCCATTTAAATGTAACGCATGCATCTTCGTCCACCTTAGCCTCCATGCAATCTAATAATAATTTAAACGTCGGCGCCTCCACAGGCATTCTAAATGGTACATGTTCGCCACCGGCAACTGGCAGTCATGTTGCTGCATCAGGACGCATGATTAGCATGCCCTCGAATGGCGATATGATTCAAATACAACCAAACAATGGCGGCACAGTACTAGTGGTGAATTTACCACCAGCTACATCAGCTTTAGACTTGAATGGAGCTTTAGCGGCGCAGCATGGACGTTTAAATCAAACCAATTCAATAAATAGTTTAAGCGGCCCTCAACAAGCAACAACAACGAACGGCGCAAACAATTTAATGGCTAATGCCAATAGTGGACAATATGTTGAGGTAAATAATAAATTTAAAAAAACAGGAAATAAAAAACACCTAATGACCAAATGATATTAGATAAAATTTCCTGCTTAATTTTCGCATGCGATATTAGCTTGCTCTCTCATAACATGTTTAATTAACATGGCGTCGTAAGTCAATATAACATGGAAAAAAGCTTATTTAAAATAACATGAGAGATTTTGTTTTATCTCAAAGAGTTTAAAGATTTTAATTTCCATTTTTTACACGCATGAGATTTGTCGTTCTGTGTACTTATCTCACTTTCAAAATTTCATTATGCTTCGGAGAGGATTGCTGCTCCCCCTGATTCCTCCGCATTAATATAACACAAAAATGCGTTTTAAAGGGAAACTCATCTAGTCACAACATTGTTGCTCCTCTGCCCGAGAGAAATTCTTCGATAATTGCCTAAAAAGTTTTCGTGTTACAGTTCTTCTTCTTCTTCTCTGTGTTCAAATACTACATACACTTTTACTTTTATCTTGAATATTAATGCAAGTCTTAATTTTTATTTATTTAGAATGGTTCTGCTAATAATACTGCCTCTCCAACTGCCACAGTGGTTACTGCGGGCGTCTGTGGCCCAAATAATTTGAATAGCAGTAACAAATGGTCGTCAAAAACAACCGAGCAAAGCGATAATAATTATTCAGCGAATGCTGAATGTACGATTTGTTATGAGAATCAAATTGATTCGGTTCTATATAGTTGCGGACATATGTGTATGTGCTACGATTGTGCTATCGAACAATGGCGTGGTGTAGGCGGCGGTCATTGTCCCCTTTGCCGGGCAATTATACGTGATGTCATACGTACTTATACCACGTAAAGAACGAGAAGAAGAGACTAAAAAAATGTTTTACCGGATAGTGGATAATTTGTAAGAAAATAAAAAAAAAATGCTTGTAACGTTTTTGGTTAAGCATTAGAATGGGAAAAGCAAAAAAAAAAAAAGAAAAAAAATTTAATGTGTCTAGAATCCTATGGAAACACACTAAATGATTTAAAATTGGACTGCAGCACCTGCTCGGTTTTATGTTTATATTGAATGAATTTTAAAACATTTACTAAAAAAAATATTGAGATAAATAATGGCAAAGAAAAAGCATTTTTTTTTTTGTGTAGAAGTTTTGTTAAAACTAATTTTGACTAATAACGACGATTTATTTTTATTTTTTTTACATTTATAAAAAAAAAAACGAAAAAAATGAAGAAGAAAACAACATAGAAAATCATTAATATAATAACAGCAAAAATTATGTGATTTTATGGTAATTGTATTATAACTTTTAAATATATGAAATAAGCTATGGAATGCCTTGATTTTATTTTTAAAATTATAATTAATTAAAAATGATTTTTTCAATGTAAAACTAAAGTTTAATAAGAAATAATTTGTTTATACTTAATATATATGAAAATATGTGTAAATTAGTTTTTAGTTAAACCAAAGTATATTTTTTTATTTATTTTTTCAAGTTCTCATCGATTAGTAGCTATAAAATTAAATTGAATTTTTTTTTTTTAATTAATATCGCATCAATAATTATTTTTTATTATTGTATTTTGTTTAAAAAAAAATATTTTAAAAGGAATCATTAGAATTCAAAAATTATTGCACAGAAACATAAGGTTTAGATTGAAAATGTTACCCATAGATCGTTATCATGGAAACAGAATTTTAAATGGATTTTAAAAAATAAAAGCAAAAAACACGACAATTTTCAATAAGATTTTGTAATATCAAGTACCCATTGGAATCGATATATATATATGTATATATATATATTTCCTTTTTTTTTAATTTTATCCTAATTTTTATTTATATTGATTTTTTTTTTGTTTTTTTAATAATCGCTTAAAAACTAATTGTACTCGAATACTGATTTTGCTATATTTTTTAAGTTAATTTATTATTTCCTTTTTTATATATATAACTCTAATTTCTAGTCACAACTTTTATAAATAATATATAATCGATGTATTAAAAGAAAAAAAAAGAAATAATCACCAAATGAAGAAAGTTGAAAAAATTAAAATTTATTATTTTTTATACTTAAAGTAATATTTTATTTAAAAAAAAAAAAAACAATGAAAGTTTATAATCCTCTTCCTTCAAACCGCGTCTTATACGTTTAAACCTTACCTTAAATTTAACTTCACACGGAACACTAATAGAAAAAAATTATCGCATGAGAGAATTGAAATTAGCACTTCACTTCACATCATCTTTGCAAGAACAAGCAAGAGCACATGAGAGATAATAAACTTGAGCTCTCTGTATCCTATGTAAACATAAACTCAAAGATAATGAGTAATTAACTAAAGCTAAACAATTTTATCTATACAATAGATAAAATAAATAACTATAAAATTGTTTACATAAATCAACAAAAATAAATAAGTCCTAATAAACATAATTAAATAAAACTGAAAGCCAAATGAAATATGCAACAATCCGAGCTCAAGTATGAATGTTAGATTATACGAAGATATAATTAATATTACAAAAATAAACATTAAAAAAATGGGAGATTTTGAAATGGTTTATTGTGCTTTTCTTCTTGATTTCTCCAATTTGAAGATTTAATTTCAATTACTTCAAATCTGTACTCGTTAAAAAATTAGCGAAAAACTCCGCTCATTTTTTCAGAATTAAGCGTTTGCAAGCTCTTCTTGGAGTAACTTATTTATGCGATAGGTTTGTTAAAATAACTGCAAATCGTCGTTTTCGCTCCACACCGTTGCTTAGTGATAAGCAATTTTTCGTTTCTGGATATATTAATAACTAAAGAATTGGCGTTTAAAAAAGTTCAGTTTGCGATCTTTGTAGCTTTAGTCATCGCAACGAAGATTACATAATTTTTATATATTGTATAGAATTTCAACAGATTTATTTGCATTGATTTGTCATTTGAACAGAGCTTTTTAATTTTTTCTTAATTTTTTACATTGCTTTAATTTATATGCCTACGGCTTTCCACTACTGCTTTGCCTTTTTTACAGAGAAATTAACTACTGCTTTGCCTTTTTAACAGAGAATGGAATTTCCCCTATTAAAAAGGGAGTTAAGCCACTAGAACAGAAACTCAGTTTTCTTTGTGGCCAATTTCGGAAATTCAAGGAAATGATATTGATTAATGAGCCATTTATAACATATTCAATGAAACTGGACAATCAGGTTGAGGCTAATTTAAATAAATATTATGTGATTAAAAAAGATATCCTAATGACTCACCTCGTTCGGTATTAACACAACAACAGTCGGACATTCCCCGATAATAGGTATATAATGTCCGCGGAAAGGATTTGCTTCGCAAATGTGCAATGCAAGCTTTCCAGTTTAGATAATTCATTCTTCTTTTTTCACATAATATGCCTACTTCAAAATATATCAGTACCTGATACTAAATCGTGATTTAAAACTTCATTGGAGACATTCCATCTCTAAATATATAATATTATAATAAATATTTAATTTACTAAAATTTGATAAATTCGTTCAACCAAATAACGTGAATTAAGTGAGAAGTTATGCCGCGTTTCTCTGAAAATTGCCGACATCTGAGAGGAAGCGTATATGTTTGAAAATGTATTTGTTTACCAGTTAAAACCAGTGTTGTCACTAGGTTTTACGCGTTTTACTTTGCAGTATGATGATTATATTTCTTTTCTTAAAAATCCCTTAATACTTTTTACAATCGAACATAGCTCTTCCAGACTAAGCGGAGAAAAACATTAGAATTTTTTTATGTTCTCGTTGGGGAAAATACATTTAACTTGAGAATATAAGTCAACTAAGTAAAAATAAATTAATTTAATAACTTTATTAAGGTTCAGAAAAAGATATTCGTATTCATTTTGGAGCTTTTTTAAACAACGCAGGGATTCTTGCTGTTAATTGTGTGTTGTGAATTGCAGAAGAAGAAGAACATTAGAATTCAAGAAAATCTATTAAAATTGAAATACATACAAAACATAAAAAATCACAGAAATATGGCGTATAAAATGGAATGGTACATAGGCACCGAATGGAAAATGCCTCGTAAAGGTTTGTATAAAAAGGTGCTGGCTTTGGACTTCAAAAGGCTCTGCAAACCACACCTATTATCCACAGTAATTGTTAGTATTGAACAAGTATTAAATCTTCGAGGACGTGAATCTATATATCTGGACGATCAAAAAGCAAAACAAGACGTTACAATCGAAATGGGTAAAGCCTGCACCCCGTTGGATTATTACTTGGAAATCCTAGTGCAGCAAATGATTGAAGGCGAAACAGCTGAATGTATCATAGAGACAAAAATCTTACCGGTGGTGTGCATTTTAACATTGAAAAGTGTTTTGGAAAGTAAAGAAATTCAAATGTTAAGACCGCCAGAAATATATCAGTTAGCTTTAAATTATAAGGAGAACGGTGTGAAAATGTTCAGAACTTATCCGAAATTTGCTCATGAATATTTTGCGAGAGCAGCAAAGTGTTTAATTTCGTACAAAAAATTTGAAAATTTAACCAAAAAACGGGATGGAATAGCCGGTAAAGATATGGAAGATTTAATGTTACAAATCCACACTAATTTGGCGGCTTGTCTACTAATCGAGAAACGATATGAAGATGTTATCTATCATACGAATTTCGTTGACAATATGAATGAGCCAGCGGAGAAGAGTGTCTATCGGCGTGCTGTCGCCTATTATCATATGAAAGAATTCGAATTGGCTCAGAAGACTATAGAACGGCTGCCGAATTTCCGAAAAAAAAAAGAATTCATGAGCTTATATCAAAAAGTGAAAGATGGTTGGAAAACTAGTAATAATCAATATAAGGGAATGGTTCAGAAAATGTTTAGTTAAAAACTACTTTTTATATTTAGCATGTAAGATAAGCGAATATTTGTTACCTCTTATAAAAACAAATGTTTTTGGATTTTCTCAATGGATTTATGATTATAACTCAGTTTTTTTTTAATTTTCTATCAATTTTCGTTTTTTTGGATTTTTTCAGATTACGTGGCGGTAGGACATGTCTCTTTCTAGTGTTAGACACGCTAGATTTGAAGAGCTCTTCATCTGGTTCTTCACCTACTTCTTGCTTAAAGTACTCTGCATCATCATCCGCATCACTAGCGTCTTCATCACCACTTTCATTTACTGCTTCATTTTCCGTTGATCGTTGTTTTTGTTTAGATTTTTGTTGCTTTTCTTGCTCTTTAAGGTTGCGTGCTCGGTTCTCGGCCTGTTCCTTTTTGCGTTGTTCCTTTAGTTTTCGTTTTTTCTCAATCATTTTACGCAAAATCTCTTTTTCTTCCTCCGTCTTGATAATATGGTCATGATAAAGCACTTCGCCGGTAAGTAAGCCCTCTTCTATTTTTATAAGCTGGAGGGTGAGGCGAGGACCGATTTCGTACAGCTGCACAGCTGACTTGTTCTCTTCCAGATTACCTTTGCGCTTCAAGGTTTGCGGTAAGATAACCTGAGAATTTTCATCTGCTTCGGCTTCTGACTCCGAGGCATTATCTCTGCGCAAAATAGGCGAGAAAAATGTAAATATATTTTTAGTTAAAAAAATGTGCTTGCATAAAAAAGGCGGTTCGATTCATTTAATGGTTATATGGTGATAGGAAAGTAAATGAATGAATATTCTAACTTACTGCATAATAAAATCTGCGATGTCTTCACATTTTGCTAGATTTGGTATTTGACCCATAATTAATTTCTTAACGCCTCGAGTTAAACCTACTGGAACGACTTGTATAGAGTAATGACGCACATCGATCAAATTATTTTGAGGATTATATGAAAATAATAGACAACGTCTAATGGTAGCAATATCAGTCTGTAAGGAATGCGCATAAAAGAATACAAATTTTACAGCCAGAATTATTCACTACTTACCTGGGTAATATTGATTGCTGGGAACATATTTTGAAAGGTATGAGTCATTAGCTTTAAATGTTTGCCTTCACCGGTGAAATTATTCATAATCACTAGAGGAGAATATTTGAAAATTTCCTCATCCACATATTGTTTTTTACTAAGCGATATCACATCGCGCGCTAAAGTGAATTGATGCACCTTCAACATTATCGTAAAAAATTAGTATAAAAATTTCTTTGAATTATTATTATAAATACCTTAAATGTTAATGTTGGCCCTCTTGGCAAACGCAATATTTTGAATGATAGCTGAGTTTCTGCCTTATTGAAAATGCCCATATGAGAGACGTGGAAGTAACTACTAACAGCTACAAAATCTTTAATGCGATTCATTTTCTTCTCCTTTAGTTCGCGCGCCGTGAATGGTTCCATAATTTTTCGGAAATCAAGAGTTAAATCCGTAATATATGGGCACGGTAGACCACGATGTATTATAAAGCTATGTGGTGCTTCCACCAGTTCTTTTGATTCACCTTCTTTAAAGGCAGCCGTACGTTTTTTAGGATGTTTTTTCTTAATTTTCCCCATTTTTGTGAACTTATTTTAAAAAATGTTACAATAGCCTCGTGCTAGCCACTAAAAACAATCATAACAAAATTTGACATATGCGCAGAGAAATATCAATACAAATGGCGGTGTTCAATAAACAACTCGTTAAGGTCGAATTAGAGAAATACTGTAAAAAATACTGCCGGTAAGTGTGAATTCTAAGACATTAGTTAAAGTTTTCATACGAATTTAGATTGCCTCTGTTTAGCAAAATAATGTTTGTCATATTAAAAATTCACCATTTTTCCTTTCTTTTAAAGATTTTCTGAAAATGTGTCTTTAGATGGGGAAGTTATGCGAAACACAATCTAATCCAATCCATTTTCAACAGAATTCGTGCTCGGGCCAAATTAATTCAGTTTACCAAATATCATCAAACTATTTGAAAAATTACGAGGTATAAGTTGGTCATATACATATATATATCACTTATTTGATATATATAGATATATATAGATATATATATATACATATAAGTCGATGTAGATTGATTGATTGACATGTATATATATGTATATATATACATATAGGTTGAAATCAGACAATTAATAAAAAGTTCCTTTGGTTGTTTTGATTTAATTTTTTATTTCCAAATTATTTTATTTGATATTAACACATACTCAATACAAAATACAGTTAATTGAAAAGTTTACAAATTCTTAGTTTTTATTATAATAGTTCGAAATATAAATATCATAGATATATGTGACAAACGGAACAAAAAAAAGAACAAAATAATGAATAAAAATCATTGTAGTGAAAATAATAAAATAAATTTTAAGTGAAAATTTCATTTATATGCTGTGTACAAGAAAGACATAGAAGAAAACGACCAAAATAAACAAAACGTTTACAAGAAGAGGCCATTTGAAATGATATTTTTCTTCTAAAGCCCCTATGAATTGCCTAAACGAATCATTGACTGCGTCCGGTTTTGGTGATGTCGCCTGCAACGAACGACGCGAGACTACTTTTGCTGAAGGCGTATCAATTCGGTGACCAAAAGATTCGCGTTGACGCAAATTAACAGCAGCGCCCGACAATGGGGAATATTTATCGGCCAAAGGGGCAGCTTTCAAATTTTCCAAATTGCGTGCAAATTTGCTAAGGAAACGAGTTTTCACATCGCCACCCAATGGATTATCTTCAACGACAATCACATCATCTTCATATTCGTCTTCATCCTCATCATCGTCGTCATCATAACCATCGGGACGATCAACGTCATCATCATAATCGTCATACTCATCTATATACTGCGGTTTAACGAGATACTTTGAAGAAGAAGATGGAGAATCATAACTTTTTCTTACTTGTGGACCACTCTTGTTGTAGTTATAATCCTGCTGCGCACCCGAAGCTGAATGGTATGTATTAAGGGTTACTCTTGAAACAAGACGTGGCATCGCTTGGCTGAACTTTTTGGTGTTTTGAGAAGTTGTAGAGCTAGTGAAAGTCGGTGTAATTGTTGTAGTCGGCTATTTTGATTAATAAGAACAGCTTTTGATTGAATTTGTGATGTCATTGTTTGTCACCTTTCCTCCGCGTCGGCATAAGTTTTATTAACATTTTTTTTTGCTTCTTGAATGAAAGAAGTCGTCACCACATTAGTTTTGCTGAGCATAACTGGTTTCGGTGAGGGTTCTTTAGTAGGTAACTTTGGATGTAGATTTTCCTTTACGGGCGTTTGCATTTTGTCGTATACTTGTTTTGACACACGATCTAGAGAAACATCTGAACTCTCTGGATCACTAACTGTGGTTGTTGTTGAAACTATACGCTCCGCAACGGCCATTAGTATGCCGTGTAGGTCTATTATTACCTTACATTAAAATCCACATTACATGTACTGTTACTATCGATAAAATCATCTATTTTTATTCTGTACTCTGCTTTTTTAATTTGATAATAAAAATTATGGCGGTCTACTTTTAGGCTAACTTGTGAAATTATTATTATTATTATTATAAATTTAGTCAGAGAATAAATTCTTTTCTCTTAAAACGCTAGCATCAAAAAAAACTCTACCGCACTTGACATTTGAACCCATGACATTATTATTATTCACGTAAAAAATATAACACATTTTCCAATCCTAATAAATCCACACCACGGAAATCGGTTTTGGGTTCTTCACTCGTCAAATACATAATAAAATTTTTGATTGTGATTAACTGAAAACGAATTTCTTGCCACTGTTCACAAACTTTCTGTTAAATGCTCATCCGGCATTAAGTGTCTCCATAATTCCATTAGTTTTTCCTTATATTCTATATTTTCTGCATTATATTGCTCGGAAGGTTCTACGTGATGCATTAAACGTTTATAACTCTAAATTTGATATACCGATACCCCAAACAATGGACAAAATCTGGATGTAAGCTCGGCTTGATACGCTTTTAACACGTTGTACAACGTTTACTGTCTTTAATGTTAAGCTTTTTAATTTGTCTTCGCTGCAGTATTCAACAGCTTCATCAGATTTCCGTATTAATTGTTTAATATCAAGTTGGTTGGAGGACTCCAAAGACCATTTTACTTGTTTTGTCCGACGTGCTTCCGGTTGAGGTCAGCAACATATTCGGTGTAATTCACATGGGCGCATAAAATTGTGCAAAAATATTGCATAATTGCTCGTATATATTTGCAAATTTGCAAACAATGTTGTTGAACCGAAACACAAAAACCAACATCATCCAGTCTATTTTGTAATTTAATCAAACACATTAGGTGAATAGTACAAATTTCTTTTCTTTTACTTATTAAGGAAACTTAAACACATGTTTTCCAAGCATTTCCAAATTAGTTTATTTGATATTAACACATACTCAATACAAAATACAGTTAATTGAAAAGTTTACAAATTCTTAGTTTTTATTATAACAATTCTATATAAAGATATCATAGATATGTGACAAACGGAACAAAAAAAAAGAACAAAGTATACGTAAAAGTTATTTGGTTAATACCAATTAATATGACAATAATGAATAAAAATCAGATTGTAGTAAAAATAATAAAATAAATTTTAAATGCTAACCTTCATTTATATGCTTTGTACAAGAAAGACATAGAAGAAAACGCCCAAAATAAACAAAACGATTACAAGAAGAGGCCATTTGAAATGATATTTTTCTTCTAAAGCCCCTATGAATTGCCTAAACGAATCATTGATTGGGTCCGGTTTTGGTGATGTCGCCTGCAACGAGCGACGCGAGGTTACTTTTGCTGAAGGCGTACCAATTCGGTGACCAAAAGATTCGCGTTGACGCAAATTAACAGCAGCGCCCGACAATGGGGAATATTTATCGGCCAAAGGGGCAGCTTTCAAATTTTCCAAATTGCGTGCAAATTTGCTAAGGAAAGGAGTTTTCACATCGCCACCCAATGGACTATCTTCAACGACAATCACATCATCTTCATATTCGTCTTCATCCTCATCATCGTCGTCATCATAACCATCGGGACGATCAGCGTCATCATCATAATCGTCATACTCATCAATATACTGCGGTTTTACGAGATACTTTGAAGAAGAAGATGGAGAAGCATAACTTTTTCTTACTTGTGGACCACTCTTGTTATAGTTATAATCCTGCTGCGCACCCGAAGCTGAATTGTACGTATTAAGGGTTACTCTTGAAACAAGACGTGGTTGATTATAAGAAGTAGTAAACTTGCTGGGCATCGCTTGGCTGAATTCTTTTGTGCTTTGAGAAGTTGTAGAGCTAGTGAAAGTCGGTTTAATTGTTGTAGTCGGTACTTTTTGATTAATAAGAACAGCTTTTGATTGAATTTGTGATGTCATTGTTTGTCCCCTTTCCTCCGCGTCGGCATAAGTTTTATTAACATTTTTTTTGGCTTCTTGAATGAAAGAAGTCGTCACCACATTAGTTTTGCTGAGCATAACTGGTTTCGGTGAGGGTTCTTTAGTAGGTAACTTTGGATATAGATTTTCCTTTACGGGCGTTTGCATTTTGTCGTATACTTGTTTTGACACACGATCTGGAGAAACATCTGAACTCTCTGGATCGCTAACTGTGGTTGTTGTTGAAACTATACGCTCCGACACGGCCATAGTATGCCGTGTAGGTCTATTATTACCCGTCTTCATAGAACTAGCAGAACTATCTTCACTTACTATATTTGATGACGCCACTTCGGCAGGCGTAGAAACATGTATAGTACGACGATTAACATCTTTGTCTGTTGCATATGGTTTGCCAGAAATAGCAGCTTCCAAGCGCTTAATAAGCACTTTACGGCTAGTATCTGTCACGGGAACGTTAGGCAATTGGTGCTCCACACACATTTTGCGTAACTCTTTGTTATTTAATTTCTCTAATTCCAACATACTATTTTCAAATCTCGAATAAATCTATTTTTTATATAAACACACAAACAAAAAACAATTTTTCCGTATTTTAGGTAAAAGTTCAGCAAAATATAGTCATTCGTCCAAGGAAACTGGTGAAATTAAAAGATGGTAAAGAGATGGTAATATATATCGATAATTAGCATTTTTGGCACGATAATCTTATTATAGTTTTATTTACGTTTCTTTGTCTGTGGTTGCAGAATTATCGTTTCTAAATTTGTAGATGCAGATATTTAAGGCGCGATACCGATGTCGACAAGAAGAACATATTAAATCATAAAAAAAACTGTGATAAAGAAGGGGAATTTAAAGGCTTTGGACAATCGCTTTCCTTGAGGGATTACTAAAGAAATTGAAAACTCAGCCTGAAATGCATTTGATGTAAATTGATGTAACATTTATGTAAACTGAAATAGCCTATTAAAATTAGTGCAATAAAAGCTCCTTATTCGCGGATGAAAAAAATGCGGCCAATTCCCATATTCGCGGCTATAAATTTCTTTATTCGCGGTTTTTGAGACGGTAAACAAACAGAATGAAAGGAACTTTATTACTCAATGAATAAAATATTGTTGCGAAAATCCCAAATCTAGTTCAGTTCTTTTCAGCTAAGCAATTTCCCCAAATAACAAGTTGACTAAAGAGGGAAAAACTAAATGCACATTCGCATTCAATTAAATTGATTTTTTTTTTATTTTTTACCTAGGGACGTATCCCCTATTACCATTCCGTATTCGCGGTTTCTGTACTTGCGGCAATTTTATGGAACGTATGGAACCCCGCGCATAAGGAGCTTTTACTGTATTTTTTAAGAGGATGGTTACTGTTTACAAATCGCCTGAAGAACGTGTAAACTTTGTTTTCATTGGTTGCATCTATTACCAGTTGTTAATTTCATAGGAAAGAGCATAAAATGCAACCCTGAAATAACATATAATCCCTGTAAAATACATGTAAACAATTTCATCAACACTTCATTATTCAAAACCGCAAAATAGTAAGTATAACAAATTTTGTGAAAAATAAGCTACATTAACGATATCATTCGCAGGATTGACACGTTTTTAAGGATAAAATTTCCTGTAAATATAAAACAGGCAGTATAGTAAGAAAATTTTTCATTATAATAGTGTATAATAAAAAACGTCGAAAATAGCTGCCCAACATAATTACCTTCCACAGACAAGCTTGTGCTGTTTTTTCGAAAACCAAAACACCACAATGAATGAGGCGGCATTGGCTGGAATGATTCCGTACGACACGATCGGTCTGTATGAGCAACCGAAACCACGTTTTATTTTTAAGATGCCGCGTGTCGTACCCGATCAAAAATCTAAATTTGAAAGTGATGAACTTTTCCGTCGTTTAAGTCGAGAGAGTGAAATTAGGTACACAGGATATCGCGAGCGTGGTTTAGAAGAGCGTCAAATTCGTTTTCAAAACGGTTGCCGTGAAGGTCATACAGAAATTTCATTCGTTGCATCGGGTACTAATTTGCAACTTGTCTTTAACGCTACACAGAATCCATATGTACATGATAAGGAGTGTGATTTTGATAAGGAACATGGAAAAGTTCATATAAAATCATATTTCATTATGAACGGAGTGTGTGTACGATTCCGTGGCTGGCTAGATTTGGAGCGATTGGATGGTGTAGGATGTTTGGAGTATGATGAACGGCGCGCGATGCACGAAGATGCTATACTTCGCGATCAAATAGATAGATACAATCAACGTCTGCGAGAATTTGAAGATACTAAGCGGGTTTATCGCGAAAATCGTCCGGACGAAATGGAAGCTGTTCGACGTGGCGTCGCATCGGGCGGAATTGGAGTAGGAACTGCCACTATGTGGCGGCGTTAATTCTTATTCTTATCCATACAGTCATGTTACGGACCATTGCTTTTAAGTAAAATGCAACAAATTTTATTTTATAGTCCTCGTAATATATTCAAAATAATGAAATAAAAGTATAAATATTGAGTAGCCGTTGTTAAGGCACTTAGGACGAAAGATCAGTAGTAAGAAGATTTGCTGTATTTTGGTACGTTTGATTTGATAGGGAGATAGGTGCAGCAAGCGTGGACTGATATGAAGATTGATGCAATGAACGGAAAGAATGTTTTAAGTGAAGCGGATGGAAGCGATTTACAGAATTCTCTTGTGGAATTTCCCCTTTCGTGTTCTGAGAAGTTTCCTTTGCATTATTTGATTAGTTGTTGCCCGTCGTTGACAAAGACCTAATGTACCCAAGACTTTGGTCAACTTGGATCGGCGTTTGACAAGCAAAAACAAGAGAGACTTAATGTCCACTAATTTCGAAATATTTGCAAAGGTTTCAATGCTAACAACTAGGAAAGTTAAATTCGGCGAAGTCCGCGCGACGCGAAGTCAAATTCTGTGACTAGTTTGAAGGCATTGCTTGAACATTTTTAAAATAAATTAACTTTTAAGCGGGCCATGCAAACTAGGTCCCTTATGGTAAGATCGACTGAAAAAGTTATAATCGAAGCGCAAGCGTATGGGTCATGGGAATAGCAGTACTGCGGACGATAATTGTGCTTCCTATTATTGATTAAAATTATTATCTCGATATTCTTATACAAGGGTTTCAAAGATGTACGCAAGATTTTCATTAAATACTGTAGAAAGCAGATTCTTTTTTTTCGATTCATAACGTGCATACTGTGAGGATCTCACATGTTCTCTGTCTCGGTGGGGTCAGTATTAGGTTAAGTTAGTAATAAGCTAATCGATATATCGTAAGTTGACACGGCGAACGATTGCTTGAGGAAACCCAATATGAAAACCAACTGTTTTTTAATTGTAGTATGATACGGTTGGCAAAGGACGACCTTGAAGGAATTACAAGTGAGACGACTTCGAGAATCGTCCGATTCGAGGGACCGACAGTTTCCCTCGATGTGTTTTTCTTGAAGGGATAGCCGACGCGTAGATATCAGTATTTAGAGAATGATTATAAACATACATCTAATCGTTTAGTTTCTTGAACATCAGTGAAATAAGACGGAATTTAAAATAGTTTTGTATTGCATTTTAATAACTTTTAGGTATTGAATAATAAATAATACCCTTAAAATTTGAATGAGAAAATTAATGTAAAATAAACCGAAACCATGAGCTCCTGCTTAATCGGCGATTGATTAAAATCCCTCTTTACTAAAGGGTACAAGCAAGTAAAAGTATAACTCCCAAAAAATAACGAAAAAGTTCCAAGAAATATAAATTTGTACCTGGCATTAAATTGAATGGCAGATTACTGCCTCACAATAGTAAAGGGTTATGTGTCTTGTAACATCGGGCAACAAGGTCTCCACGGTTATACTGACACATACACACCCTTTTATCGAAATTCTTGAGGGAAACCACGTACGAAAAAGTTTTCCAAACACTTCAACACAACAGCGAAAGTTAACTTTCGGCTATGTGATTACCTCCCTCATCATCGAGATGAGAGAGTACACGACAGGCAATGTCTCATGCAGTAATTGAGTAGTTTCACGCGATGTGGCACAACATTTCGTCCACATCAATGTACTTCAATTTGGGTAGAGAGAACTTGATTATCATAGCATGATATCGAGCAATAATAACAGTCACTGCTTGACCGGCGTTATTTTTGAAAGGGAATGAATCCATGTTTTTTTTGTATCCCCATTCATAAAGGCGCTATCGCGAAGCAAACTCTTATATGGAGAGAAAATCTAGCCTTCCAGTATGCGGGCTTTCAAAATTATGGCTTCGCATGAAAATACTGTGTACATTTTGGTGTAGTATTACCAAAATGAGCCAATAACGGTACTAGGCGAAGTGGTGTAGGATATGTAGAAGTCCGCGTCGACCGACTTTACTCTTCTTACTTCTTATTTTTAGTTTTTATTTATTATGCACCTCTCCCTCATCTAATCTAATCTAATTTATAAAATCTTACTACACTCATAGAGTTGAAGGCCAACATAACACTCGGTACGTCACCCCTACTTTTATTCATTTCTGCTCGATTTCTTGATTTTGCTTGTGCATCTTCTTTCACCATGTCTGTCACTTCATCGCGTATACGCAAACATTTAATTTAATTTAATAGTACTTCCACAAATATATCTTCAGTTACATAAAAAAAATTTACGGTTTTCCATACCACCTTTGAGGTACCGTGATAGACGCGTTGCAATATAAATAAAAAAGGGCTAGTTGAAGGCCAACCATATATACAGGTATAAACAAAACAAACCCATTTAAAAAAAGCCCATCCTTATCATCCATATTAAAATTAGCGGTGCTAAAAGGACATTTGTCGTTATGTTAATTACTATTCGGCGTTATTGCTATTTCGAAAACTATTATCGGGAATTGCAAACAAATATTCTGTACCTTATGAGGGCTGAGATTTAAAAATTTTTTATTTGTTTCAATTATGATAATAACAACCTTCAAAAGTACATGTAAAAATTATAGGCTTAATAAAAATGGGAAATTATTGACAAATAGCAGAGAGGGTAAACAAAATTGAGAAGAAAGTTAGTTTCATTCCATATGTGGATAGTCAGAGTTTTTCAAAAGAAAGCTCTGTAAGGGAAAGAACAGTCGATTTTGTAGAAAATATTTCAACGAAGGGCTGTCTTTATTACCTTAAATTTTCTAAGTTGCTTACTTGAGCGGCTTCTCTGTGATATGCTGGCCCGGAAGGTTCTACATTAATAGAGTATAAGTTGTATTCATTAAATTTTCTATTTCAATTTCTTATATACCTACCTATCTGCGAAGGAATAGTTATTGTCCGCATAATCGATTGGCCTGGTGGAGGGCATCGATCTAAGGCCTTCCAAATAACCCTTGGCATCTTCAATATCCCTTTCCAACTTAAAAACTGCAAAAGTACATGTTAGGATCATCCTTAATTAGTGTGCTTGAGAAGAAATTCTTTGTTTACCCTTTTCTTGGAGATTTTCTTCCGAAGTGCGACAACACAGCTCATTCTTGCAGGAACAACACTTTGTTTGCTCTTCCTCCGAACCATCGCCTCCGTCCCTTGTCAGATAGGTACCCAATGCGTTTATTGCCTCGGTTCTATGATCTGTTAGGATCATGTCAAGCAAACAGCCCGGTAAAATTTTATCGGCTTGAGCATATAATTTTCTATGCAAGTAGGCCAGTTCACGGAATGATAATGTAGTAATACCGCAGTGATATAGTCTATGAGCAATACAATACAATTTACTTTTCGGATTGACTAAACGGCAGAAACAGAAGCCGCACTCTTGTATGAACTCGTTTAATATCTTGCGCAAATCTCTTTCGAAGGCATCTCCCATTGTACCCATTTTTACGACCGTTTTCTCGACGAAAGCTTCAACATTGGCCTCATCCTCCGGCCTGGGTTTAATGATCCTTTTAGGTGTAGACGTGACTTGTGGTGCGAAAGCGGGTGGCAGTTCTGGCTTTCTGACTGTTTGGGGAGGAGCCGGTTGCTTAGTAGGTGGCAAGGCAGGGGGAGCAGCCGCGACTTCAGGCGCACGTGCCGGTGCGGATACGGGTGCGGGTGCTCCCCCCGCCTTCCAACCTAATAACTAACCGGCTCCACCACACAAAGCCAGAAGAACACAAACGCCACCAGCAACCCCACCAAAAGCCACGTCTAC